AATTTTTTTTTTTTTTTTTTTTTTTTCTGGTATGGGTCTTTTGTTCTGTTCCGAAACCATAATGAAAACCGGATGAAAAACTGGAAGCTTGTTCCCGTTCATGAAAAGGTCCACAGGAAGAGGAATCCGCATGCTTCAGGTGAGAGATGTCAAACACTAAATAATACTGAATCTTTTTCTTGTTTCTTCGGTTCTTATACCTTTTTGTGCATGTCAGGGGGGAATCTTTCTCTGCTCAAGAGAGATATCGATGACCTCATAGACGAGTTTGTGGAGGTACTTTAAATATATTTCATCTCCATCTAATTTTGTTGTTTCAAATTGTTGTCAGGCTTTCAACTTGTTGAGTCTCTGGTTTTGCTGATATGAAGAGGGTGTGGCTATCCCGAAAGTTTTCTTATATATATGAAGCCTTTCCTGACACCAACTTAGCCTTTTTCATTCACTCACTATATGCTCATACCATTAGTACGTTTTAGGTCTAACTCATGAACTACTTTTGGAACATTCAGAATTAATTATCCTTTACTGTCTGTTTTTTTTCACATTGTGATTGTCCTCTTAGCTAAGCTCACAAGCCATGCTTATGTCTCTACAGGTCACATGTTTAGTATTGATTCTTTTTCACGGAGACTTGGAGAGGTCTTTACTGTCTCTATTGCCTTCATGAGACCCAACCTTTTAAACCCAAGTTCCGGATCTATATCTCACTTGGTAAGTGTATATATTTACCATTTGTTGAATCTATCATTTACCGTTGTAAGCATAATTAACTTTGTGCAGAGGAGCTTGGGAGATTTTGGGATCTTATAGTTGAGTCAAAAGACAGAGTTGTAGAGATAGCTAATGCTGTGGCCAGACAAATGCTTGACAGAAACGTGTTTATATTTGGAGCTGTAGATTTTGATGAAGCGTCTACAACCGAGAAACTTCATCAATCAATAGAGCTACAGAACGCACTTGTGCGGGTGTGCCTATAGAAAGTATGTCATTTTTGTCCCTTTAGTTTCATTTGGAACACTTGACAAAATCGTAACTTAGTAAGACCTTGTTAGTGAGTGACATTATTCTCATTTTGACTTGAACAGATTAACTTGTGAAACCGAGATTGAGCAGTTTATTCATTTGGATATGGTGACTTCGAGATACTTATCTTTATTGATCTTTACTTAGGAATTAGGATAGAGGACAATATACTATTAGTATCATAAACAAACACAAACGTTAATAAGCAATCAGAATATGTATTACTTCTTCCGTTTAAAGCTAAAGTCATCTGTTTTGGGGATTACATACAAATACAATAGTTTTAAAATTTGAATAGAAAAATGTGGGTAACATGGACGACCAACAATCTGAATTAGGTACTTAAATAGGTTCTCAAGACTATAAAACATCTGACAGTTTGGCCGAGTGGTCTAAGGCGCCAGATTTAGGCTCTGGTCCGAAAGGGCGTGGGTTCAAATCCCACAGCTGTCAAATATTTTTGTCTTGTCATTTTATTTATGCCATAGAATCTGACGAACCGATTGGAGTACGAGATACCTAAATCTTATTTGCACATCGCTATTGCTCTGTCCATAGGATAGAGAGGACAGAAGAATATTGACTCGTTAATGAAGTTGATCTGAGTTCCCTGCACAAAATGTCTATATGAAGTATGCAGAGGCCAAGAAGCGCGCAGTGAAAAGTATGCTACTTCATACGAACTGTTTTATGAGCAACTATTTTACCCTTTATGCTATCTACTTCATTTTAAGCATGTGTGTTTTTGTCTGGTGTTTATATCTCTTGTTTTTGGTAATTTTTTTAAGGTGCGGGAGAGATAGAGTTGATGGGAGAGAGAATGGAGAATCTGAAAGAGGAATGGAATTTGCAAAAACTTTCATTTTATGAAAAGACCAAACTTGATGGTATGTTGACAATGGTAAGATAAACCCCCAATTTCAAGTTCTGATTCAAAATCTTCTCTCTAAAGGACTAAAAGAAAATTAGATCGAGAGAAGAAACAAGAGAAGACAAACGATTTATGTTCACGAGGAAAATGAATGATCGAGATGAAACCTTCATATACTTTGAGGGAAAAAAAAGAAAGCAAACCTCCAGTATCAAAATTTCTGATTCAAAAGCCATGATCCTCTAGCAAAAACGGCTATTTGATGATTCATTTTAATACGTTAGTGTTGATTGTTGTATTATATACTTTCAAATTTTGAATATAAATAACAAAAGCCTAAAATAGCCCAACGCCCAGCCCATTTCAATTGTCTAGTTTCTCACCTTTTTTTTTCTACCGAGAGAAAAAATTTGTTGTTAATTTATCGCAAACTATAGAACAGATCCCTTTACTTTTGAAAATATTTCTACAGATCCAAACTCAGCGTATTTAAATGGAAGTTTTAGAACATTTCGTAAGGGGTTGTGTTACATTAGTGAGTTTCTGAATAGTTTCTGAACATTTCGTAAGGGTTCGTAAGGGTTTGTGTTGATTTTTAAATTTTCATTTTACATTTATTATTTATTATTTTAAATATTTTTATGTATTTCCAAAAAACTAATAAAGTTTTTCGGCAATGCTAAATATTTTATCAAACACATCTTCGATAATTTTACCTTGCGGAATCATAAAATTGTGGCTTAACTCGATTTTTTTAAAATTAGATTTAGGCATTTAGCTTGGAGAAGCTACAAAAGATCATGATTCTTCCACAAGTTATGTCGTATGAGAAATTGAATTTAAAACTATATCCAAAAAGACAACAAAAAATAGTAGAGTGATAATAAACATATTAATATTAAGTTTTAGTGATCAAGTACTACAAAATATAATGAAAAAAGCTAATGAAGATTGCGAAGTGTTTTCGGGTGGTTATATATATTATTTCCTTACAAAAAACTATTTCAGACCAAGCTACTGTCAGACGTAATAATATCTAAAAGAACGTATGTCGAAGTCGAACTACATATATGTAGCATTGTTGGTCGTGCGATAATCGGAATCTCATATTACAAAGGTCAGGAAACTACTGATGGTTGTCAAGTAGATTTGATACATTCGATAAATACAATCGAGAACTGATGACTTTAATTTTCATATTTGTTAACACGTCATACATTTGTCTGTCTGAGGTGTGTATTTTTTTTTGTGTGCACAGGTGTGTATTTATGGATGAAACTAAAAACAAATAAAAAGAGAGAAGAGTTTATGTGGCTGATTTGGACAAAAGTGACTTTGATATGCATATCTGCGATAATGTATCGATGTGGGACCTGGTGAAGGGGGGTTGGTGAGACGAGTGGTGTTTGGTGGATCTTCGCCACTGTGGTTGTTGCCTTGATGGTCCTTTTATCATCTCTGACCACAAAACATATAAAAAAATAAACTAAAACTACAAATACATCTTTGACCTCAAATGTTACAAGTTTAGAGTTTGATTTGTCAATTTTGACTCCTGTTTTACTCCACGGAACCGCGTTTTCTGTAGAATCCTATTGTACCAACTATCAAGACTGTATACCATTTTGGAACTTGTGGTTGATCATATAATATATTTATGTATTGTAAGTTTGTTGTTGATTAATTCTTCATCACGGCAGCCCATCACTTTGTAAGTATATCATCATGCTAACCTCAAGAACACCCATATGCTTAATGTCTGAAATTAAGACATTATAAAACAGGTGATGAAAAATAGGTACCCCGCAAATGTTAAAAAAAATACCGTTAATATCCGGAAGAATATAAGAAGTACAGAACTTATGATTGTATTTGTTGAATTCATATCGGAGTCATCGCCTACTACAATGATGGGAAAGACTAAAGAGCATGTACACATGTAAGTGTTTGAATGAACCCATCTTACCAACCCACTACATACTTCTTTGAGGCAATATCAAGTAGCTTTAATTTGGAGACCCTTCAATTTAATTCATGTGCTCAATTGATTTACGTTAGCCATAAGTATTTATGTATTAGCTATATCTTCAGAAAGTGTTAGATGTTGCTTTTCGGCATCCTATCCGCTGCAATTAACCTAAATAGTAGCTAGATATCACCATCACTCAAACAATACTGGTCGATTGATATCTTCTGAGACGATTTTACGATCAATTGATTGACTTCCGTTTCAAGCAAGATTAGACTAAATGGCAAAGTATATGGAATCTCTTAACCTAATTATATGATTGCTTTATAAATCGTTGATATTCTATAGTTTAATAGTTTTTCTTTTCATAGTAACACCTCCTCTTGCTTGAAGATTACTATGTGTTTTTTCATTTGAAAATAAGAAAGACCTCTCGCTTGAAACTAATAGTTTTGTGGACGTAATATTAACATTACTTCTCGTTATCTACAAGTCCTCTTTATCTACGGGTCATCTCTGGTGTTGATCTACCGGTGCTTGAACTTGTTGTTGGGGACTTGAAAATTTAGTTCTACTTTGTTAGATTTTTAAGTGTTTTTCTTTTTACTTTTTTGCACACTTAGAACATAATTAATCGGGATTCTTAGGATAAGATTTTTATCGGAATATAAGAAATTATATTTTAATTTTTAACTTAAAAAACTAATAACCAACTCTTAAATACCTTTATTAATCATGTTTTTAGAAACAATAGTCCGTTCATGCCAGAATGGGATCCAAGCCACAATGTGTATCAATTGTTCATTTTCATAATTGATTTTCACATTTTTAACAACAAAAATACTATACTCACAGAGATAAAATTTTACATAAACAGAAAGGACAATTCACAATGAGAGTACAATATTACTTTTTTAGAGTACAATTTGTTATATTCTTTTTCATTGTAAATGGCATAGTGCACAATAATCTGCTTAGTTATATATATATATATATTTTACTTTTGCTGACACGTTAAGAATTTATTTTGAATTTATATATTAATTGTCGGATTAGTGATAGAAATTTTGGGAAATCATTTAACAAATAAGTCATCAGCTACAAGGCTACAACTAAACCATCATGATTCAAACCGCCTTACATTTTCAAACAAACGGCAACATAAACGAAGGAAAACCCGGCAATATACAACTTCATAAATCCAGTTTCCGTTTTATAAATAAAGATGGTGCGTTTAAAACAAAAACTAAAACTAAAAGTGGAATATTTTACAATTATGTATTCATGTTTATTCATTTATTATTTTCTTATTTATTTTTCTTCTAACAAACTTATTTTCTTATATCTATGATATGTACTGAATCATCAGAAAATAATATAACCAACGGGATTAAAAAAGCACTTATCTGTGTACTCGTAGCACTTCACAAAACAATAATAACGAATGTTATTTTTAATTGGAGTCAAACGTTTCGTTCAGTACAAACCTAGTAACATCATTAACTTAACTAGGGGTGGGCACGGATCGGATATCCGGGTTTTCGAAGGTATTTGTGATTTGCTTCGTATGTTACGGATATCTGATTTTGGTATTTGCTTTGCTTCGGAAAAATACGGATATCCGGAAAAACGGATATCCGGAAAATAAACAGATATTTGCGGATATTTACGAATACTTACGAATATCTCATCCATTACAAATAATCTTATATAAATTTATTTTGTATATTTTTTTACATGATATATAAAATAAAAAATAAAGAAGTAGTGAATTTACATATTTTCTAATTTTTATGTTTAAGTTAACAAATATAATAACACAAAACTTAAGATTTTTTTTTATAATTTTCATAATTTTTCTCTTCTTTTTATCTAATAATTTTATATAAGTAATAATGTGAATCTAATTAGTTAAATCATAAGCTATAATAATAATTGTATACATTTAAAATTTTAAATATAATCAAAATATACATATATTTATATATTTCCGGATCGGATCGGATATCCGCTTTCTAAAATTTTAATATTTGTGATTTGCTTCGATTTTAACGGATATTGATTTTTCGTATTTGCTTTGATTCGAAAGTTTACGGATATCTGAAATTTTCGGA